TTAGTAAGAAAATCTACTGCTGTATTTGCTTTCTGGTAGATATGAGTCAGTCTAATGTCAGAAAACTGGCTGAGCAATCGCCTGCCATTAGAGATTAAGACACCCAATGCGTGAAAAACTTGGTTAGCAGTCTCTAAACAAGCTTTAGTCTGAGATCACAAAATGTTGCTGAATAATTCTATCCTATAATTTGATCAACTAAAATCTAGACATACAAAATCTCAACCAAGGGGGACATCTAGACATCTTTGTTTTTAAGCCTTGATTCATTTTGGTGATTTTAAAGCTACTAATACACTCAGTAGCAGAACGAGATTTAGACGTCCACTCTCCTAGGGTTGAGTTTATGCTGCTCCAATGAGGGTCACCCTCTTGATGGCTCTGCCAGGTAACAACAATGTTTTGTAGTATCTATCTCCTTCCTAAACCTCTTTTCCTTTCTTTCTTGTCTAAATTAGCTTTCTCTGCATTTTCTTTCCATATCTATGAAAAATCCCAAAAAAAAATAACAAAACTCTAAAACCAAATTGTTCTTAGATTTCACTTTATTTCATCTTTACATGGCTAATGCTGCTCAGGTATGCGATTTGAATTCAGGAGACCAATCTGAAGATAGGTATGCGATTGTGGTGTTGGGATGCTTTACTGCTAAATCTAAGGTCAATTAGTGCAAGGTTTATGGGGTCTTGGCCAAAGATTGGACTGATTGACAGGGTTTTTAGGATGATTCTATGGTGGACAAGCAATTCAGAGATGGTGATGGCCAACAAGTTGACAATTCATGCATGGTCGCTGGTGAGGTGACTTCAGAGTTTCCAGTCCTGCTAATCAAGATTTGGGCTGTTTGAGGAACTTTCTGGAGGTGAATAGAGAGGATCCCTTTGTTAGAACACTCTATTCTGATGTTCTGGCTATTATCTCAGATGATGAGATGAGGCTAGTTCCGGAGATCAAGGGGAAAGCATTTCTAGCTATGAGGCCAAACCAAACTAGTGTTTCCAGGGGCAGTAAGCGGTCAAGAGGTAGGATTGCCCTCAACTTAATTGTTAATGTTGAGAAATGCTTGCTTCTAAGTGGAATACATATTATGTCAGTTTGGTTGTTTCACTGTTCTATTTAGGATGGGTTTGAATATATATTATGAGTTGCTAATACTAGGTCTCCTTGGATTTATCATATCTGTGGTTAGTTATGGTGGGAATTGGGAAGAGGAATATACAGCAAAATTGTTAAGAATGTCTGGTGAGGGTAGACTGAAAGGGCTTGTTCGCTTTGACCTAATTGTTACACAAGTTGAGAGGGGTGGCGGTACCCCGAAATTAACCACCAAGGAGGTATTAGTTCTGATGTTGTTGGTAGCAGCCAAGGGTTGGGGCCTATCTTGGTCATTTATGGGAAAAACAGATTCATCTTAGGTCCTTTTAAAATTCTTTCCATTAGTTGTTTGGGCAGTTGGAAAATTCAAAAAAAATATATATTGTGTGTTTTTTTGTTTGTGGTGAAGATGAGAGGTGTTGTGTGGGGCAGGTGAGTGGGAGAAGTGGTATTATTGTCTTTCTGGCTACTGCCCTTGGGAGGAGCATTTATAGACTCATCTTGGTCCTGGTGGCTTTAACTTCCTTTGCCCCTACTCTCCTCTCTCAGTCTTCAAGTTTGGTTCTTCTTTATGCCTCTCTTCGTAGGACTTTGTTTACTGTTGGTTGCAAGGCTGGGAGTCAGAATTTGGTAGCATCTTCATTTTGACAATTTGGAGTGGTTTGACATGTGGGAGAAGGCACAGGTGGATGGCAGCAAGATTTTTATCTTTCCATGACACCATATGCAATCTTAGCAGTCAAATATTTACCTCCAAGCATGTATTGGTATCTTCCTAGGTAGTGCAATGCTCTATGATTTTTTATCCATCTGAACCGTTTATCCTTTTAGCTTGTGTAGTTTCTTTGGAAGTTGAACTTCTTGTTGGAATGCTTAGCAGAAATACTTTGAGTGGTCTTGGTTTCATGGGAAGTTGGCGGTTTCTTTGGACCGTCTTCAGCTTCTTTGGAGCTTCTTTGGTTTCAATCTTTCTATCCCTCCAAACATTTGCTCTGGTGGATTCATTCCTATTTCTCAAGTGCTCTCCCTTATCAAAGAGACCCATGGTGTTTATGCAGCCTCCCTCACATTTTCCTACTGTCTGCGATGTCTCCTTTGATTTAGTTACAGTTGGTATCTTTGTGGAGTTTTTACTGGTAACGCTTCTTGGTAGCCATTGCTTTAAAGGAAGTGGGTCCTGCAGCAGTCAGGGGAACCCTTCTTCTAGTCAGCTACTCTTCTGGCTTAGAGTCATTCCAATTTCCGGAGAGCTTTATGTTATGTTTTTATCTTCTGTTTTCCCTTTTGTGATGTTTTTATCTGTGTTGCTCAGGTTCTGGCCTGTTTACTTCTTATGTAACCTGGACTATTGAGGTTTGCTTAAAAGAATAATTTTTCTTTCGGCCAAAAAACAAAATGTACTCAGCAGTGTACTGTAACAGATGATGTGTTGTATTCTTAAACATGGCATTGGGGCTTTGTATATTTTTGATAATTTGTAATGAAACTGGTGAGTTTTTTGGCAGGAAAACAGAGCACAAGCAAGAGAAATTACAGGAATGGCATTGGCATTGACATCAAAGGACATCCAGCCATAATCGACCGGTATAATTTGCCATCACTGCAACTGCCAATGTGTCATCGCTGGAACTGCCATTTCTACTGCGGCAATGTTCTTATAGGGATTTTCTAAGTTAGAACTACTGAGGTCAGACAGCCTTAAGCATATGTGAGAATATAGTACAAAAAAAAAAAAAAGGGAACGTGAAGTGAAGGAGATGCTTATCAGACAAAATCGGAGCCACGATTGAAGATACTAGTTGTTTGATAGTTTCATTTGTCGGTTTTCTCACTTTTTCTTAGAACTTTTCTTGCTAAATACTATTATATTGACACATTTTTCTTTTAATTATTATATTGTAATGTATGAATTCAATCAATTAGTTATGGATGACATGCAAACCTTTTTTAATTACTACCTTAATGCTCAATAAGCTGACTCCAATATTACAATGTGAACTAACCATATAAAGCAACCCATGCAAAGCGCAGCTTGTGCTCTTGGTTTTTATTTATTTTAGGATTGAATAAAGTTGACATACATACTTGATTTAAAGTGTTCGCATTTGTAATTTATCATTCAAAAGCGTGACATTTTTCATAGTGTTTTTATTCTCTGAAATTCTAAATATAGAGTAGGAAAGCTGATTGGAGTTCATAACATACCGTTCCATATATTGTTCATTCAGGTTTCCATGAAGAGAGAGGCGGAGTTTCAGAATTCTTGTAGGTAGGAACGGTGGATGGGTATCTGTCTCCCCGAACAGCATCTTTGGAAGCAATGACTTCAATTTCAGCCATTTCTTCTGGAGTAAGTTTGACAGACAAAGCTCCTATGTTCTGGTTCAAGTTTTCAATCTTGCTGGTTCCAGGTATGGGGCAGACATCTTTCCCTTGGTGATGGACCCATGCTAGTGCTAGCTGTGATGGAGTGCACCCCTTCCTTGTTGCCATCTCCTTAACTCGCTCGTAGAGGTGCTTGTTATGCTCAAGATTTTCAGGTTGGAATCTAGGATGAAGCTGTCACACAGTTGAACAAGACACTTGATTGATTTCATCACGAAACATATATAAATTACTTGGTATGCATAATAACAAACACTAAGGCTTTCCTTTGAAGGTTAAATTTGCATCAATTGATACGAACCCTTCTGGAATCTTGGTCCAATAAATTCTCCACCAGTGATGGTCCTGATGAAAGAAATCCTCGCCCGAGAGGGCTGTATGCAACAATCCCAATTCCAAGTTCCCTGAGAAATGAAAGTGGAAAAATTATTTGAATGCTGATTGCCAATTAATTCAAAACCGTCCCAAGTGATATATATTCTGACCTGCAAGTAGGAACTATTTCTTCTTCCACATCTCTAGACCATAGAGACCACTCCAGCTGTACAGCAGTTATAGGATGAACAGCATGTGCCCTTCTAATAGTTGAAGCAGAAGCCTCAGAAACACCTATGTACTTCACTTTACCTTCTTCAACCAATTTCTTTAGTTCCCCCATCTACCAAAACATTATTATTACTCTAAAGAATCAGTTGCAAATTACCAAAAAAGTGTTTTTCATGTCAAAGAAAATGTAGACATTTCCTCTCTAATTATTCAAATAAGTTTACGAATACCTTGATGCTTGTTAATTTATCAAGGATGTTTAAATTTTTTCACAAATATTCCTGCACTCTTTTCTTTTTTTTCCTGAAAATCTACTTTCTTTGTAGATTGTTAGCTTTCATCTAGAGAAAATCACAACATAAAAAAAGAGAACAAACCGTGACTTCGATGGGCACACGGGTGTCAATCCGATGCTGATAGTAAAGATCAATACAATCAACCCCAAGACGCTTCAAGCTGGCCTCGCAGGCTGCCCGGACATAAGCTGGATCACCACGGACCTCTCTTTTACCATCCACAAAGATATTCCCAAACTTGGTAGCCAATTCAACAGTATCTCTGAATCCACCCTTCAAAGCCTTACCGAGAAGGATTTCGTTGGTGTGGGGACCGTATACATCAGAAGTATCGAGGAAGGTGATGCCAGAATTTAAGGCATGGTGGATGAGGGCGATCATATCGGG